TCGCCCCCCCTACCTTCCACCAGGGCTTTTTTGGCCATGGCGGCGGCGCGGTGCGAGTTGAACTTGAGCAGCGCAATTTGCGCGGGCGCCGGCCCGGGGCTGGGCATCAGCAGCGCCTCCTGCAGGCCGGGACCCAGGGGCTGCAGCGCGAGCAGCAGCGCTCGGCGGCTCAGCCCCAGGGGCAGCCCGTCCACACTCAGCTCGCACTTCTCCGTGCTGCGGCACACGAGCAGCGGGCAGGCCGGCCGCAGCGGGTGGTTGTGCAGCGTGGCGATGGCCGCCTGGGCGCCGCGCCGCGAACTGTAGCGCGCGTAGGCGAAGCCGCGGTTCAGGCCGCTGAAGGTCATCATCAGGCGGAACTCGTAGAGGCGGCCCACGCGCTGGAACAGTGGGATCAGCTGGTGCTCGTACACGTCCTGGGGCAGCCGCCCGATAAACACCTCTGACCCGGCCGGCGGCGGGCTGCCCACCCAGCCTAGGGGAAGGGGCGGGAAGGGGCACCGTCATCCTCCGGGACGGCTCCGGGTTTCGGGCCCGGCCACCCAGCGCGAGAGGGCCTATGAGCAAACGTCCGTGAAATGGGTGCAGCACTCGCACCCCGAGTCGTTGGCATAACCGGGTGCCTAGCTAACAATGCGGCTGGCGCAGAGTAAGTGCACCTTAAGGCGGGCTCCCTCCCTCGGGGGCGGGGGGCAAAGGTGGGTGGCTGGAGAGCCACAGACAAGTTTCCTCAGCTGCTTGATTGGAGGGGGTGCAACGGGTAGAGATTTCTGCCTGCAGGGCACTGGGCTAGGCCCCTCCCCCAGAGGGTGCCGGTCGGGACCGTGGAGGCTGGCGGGGCCCGGCAGGCCTAGTAGGGCTGGGACGTACCTGGGGGTGGCCCGCCATACTTCCTCTGCCCGTTCACCTGCACCAGGCGGATGCCCGTCTCCCTGACCCACGCCTCCAACGCCGCCTTGTTCTCGGGATTCACCCTCTCACACCACAGCTGAAGGCGAAAAGGCAGGTTGGAATGGCGGATCGCCGCGACCGCCCCCCACCTCGCCTGTGGAGCCGGAGCCCAAAGGGCCACTTCTCCCTGCGCAGGTGGCGCTGGTCGAGCCCTCTGGCCAGCCACTTACCTCACACTCCCGCTTGGACTGCATGGCTCTCTCGCCGGCCCGTCAGTACCCCCTTTATAACCTCCTCCGCATCTGCCTCTGGAAGCTTCCCTACTCCTCCTCCCCCCAAGCTCTCATTGGCTCTGAGCACGACCCCGCCCCCCAAGGGGGTGGGGATACCCACTGCACGTGCGCCGCGGGAACCTCGGACCCTCAGGTGAAAGCTAGAACCGGTAACCGGTGAGTGTGCCGGCAGCCCAACTAGGGCACGGATGTGCGCTGGAGGCAGGAACCTCAGCGGCACCCTTCACCCCGGGGAGGCGCCCGTGGGGCCTAGTGTCAGGTTTTCTCCCCACTTTCCCACAGCTCAAGTGGTTGGAATGGGAGGCCCAGGCTCCCACAGGGAAGGCAGGGCTAGACAACAGTGACACAGGCAGGCTCCAGTGGTTGAGTCATTTTATTGGACCTTCAAGGATTAGGGGGGAACATTCCCTCCATCTGGTTAGGGTCCTGCAGTGGCGACCATCTTAGGTTCGGTCCCTGGAGCACAGACTGGACTAAGCCCCCAGGACCTCCTGTGGAAAAATTGTGTACTACCTGGCCACTTTTGCCTGTGATTACCAATAAAATAATCATAATAAAAAGTCTCCGTTCTGACCACCGTTCAGGTCTTTCTGCTGGAAGAGAAGTGTGCAAAGCTGTTAAGTATATATGCAGAGTCTTGTCTTAGCCTCACATGGTGCCAGTCCCACTTTCCCCTGATAGTTGAACTCAGCAGATGCAAAGGGGCTGGCTTGTTCTCCTTTTGATTTCTTCCACAAGGTCTTCTCTTCGGACGTCCACCTGGCCAGGATGGGGAAAGAAGGTGGTATGAGCATCTCTCACTCCACTGCTCCTAAGTGCCCACTCCTTCCTCTAGTCATCAGACTTGGCTCAGCTGGGAGCAGAAATGCAGGCAAAGGCAGGCAAAAAGTACACAGTGCTTCCTGGGGGAGCCAGAGACACAGGGTATAGATGGAAATGGGACTCCTACCCTACCATGACCATAGTAACAGGTTAACCTTTAGTCCTTTCCGAGTGGGCACTAACATGAGTGCCAGGCTTTTGCTCGGGTCTTGAATGGGCATGGCCTGCCATACACTCCCTATCCCTCAGACTTCCTGCCCACCTACCTACCTCTTCCCTGCTGGCCACTGAGCGGAGCTTGATGACCCCATCCTTGAGCTCCTGCTCACCGATGATGGCCACCAGTGGGATGCCTGCCTCCTCACAGTATTGCAACTGGTTCAGCAGCTTTGGGTTCTTCTTGTAGAGCAGCTCTGCCTGCAGGGGACCAGGGCAGAAGATGAATGCTGGCTTCTACTGCCCTCAGGGACAACTTCCTTGGGACCCAAGTGCTCTTGGCCCTCCTCCTCGAGGTTGCTATGGATGAGCTTTTATTTAGTTTGCTCCTAGCACTCCCAAGTTTGCTGCCACCCTGGGACCAGCCTCCACTACCTTGATCCCGGCATCCCAGAGCTCCGAGACGAGCTTCAGTCTCTCCTCCAGCAGCTTCTTCTGTGCAGATGCCACAAGCACCTGTGTCTCTGTGGTCCGTACCTTCTCCTCCAAAGCCTGGGGAAGGGGCAGATAAATAAGAGTCAGAGAGCTAGGGCTACCTTCAAGGAGCAAACAGAGCAGGCTGTTGTCAGGATTCTGAGAGACAAGGCCCAACTGCACGAGCTCCACGAGGACAGGGGCCCTGTCTTCTCCCCTAGCAATTGGGCATAAGGTGGCTCCTAGAAGATGTAAGAAACAAACTGACTGGCTTGTACATATGACTTGCCAGAATAGATCACGCAGGGCAAGAGTAAAGGTGGTTTATGTACAGTAACTTCAAACTTGTTTCCTTCTAGTACCTTACAGGTCCAAAAGAACATTCACACAGAAGTGATACTGTGAGCTCACCCAGTTCCCACTTACTGTCTGCCCCGTCAAGACACTGTGCCTCTTATACTTGGGCCACAGGGCCCAACCCAGGGTGTGGGTGGACAGGGGGAAAGGGAAAATGCTGCTGCTGCCCCTGGTCTTTTTCTGGAAAACTATTTTGATAGTTCTGAACAACATAAGATACCTACTGGAACAGTGACCTCAACTGGGAAACATGGGTGGTTTCCGCTCCAGAGAAAAGGATGGGAGCACTGGGAAGATGACTGCCAGAGAACTCCCCAAGGGATGACATGCAACCAGCCAGTTAAGAGCAGCAGCAAAGGAGTGCGTGAGGCCGTGAGGGCCTTCCCTGGTGTTACTCCAGGGGCTAGAGAGTCAAGATAGCCGTCTGAAGGATCCCAAGACCTCAGATACATGCTTACCACTTAGAGACAACACCAGAGTAGTTAGAGCAAGACTTTGGAGTTAGACTGCCTGGATTCAAATTCTGACCCTGCCACTTAAGAGTTTCACAACCTTGGGCAAATTATGACCTATAATGCTTCAGCTCCCTTGTCTAGAAAATACAAACAATACATTTACAGGGCTGTGTAAGAATTTTACTAGATAATGCACGAAAAGCACTAAGCATGGTGCCCAGTACAGAGTAGTAAACTATTAAGCATTCTGTAGTCTGAAGAAGATCCGGGTCTTTGGTTATACCAGCTATGGCTTCTGACAGTGCTGAGGGAAGCAGGGACCCAGAGGAAAGGATTCTGTGAAGAATGGTCAAAGATCCATAAAGCTGGCCTACAATGGGGTGCGAGTCTGTGAAAGACAGCAACCATCTTTTTTCTCCATTTCTTTCCAGAGATGCTCCTTGACCAAAGTAGTACTATTTGCCCCCTTGAAGATCAAAGAAAACAGCTCACATGCCACCAGCTGCCCACCCCCAGAACGTACCTCTAGCCTCTGCTCCACAATGGAAAAGATCCGCTCCACCCCAATGCTGAGCCCCACGCATGGCACCTTGCGTCCTTTAGGGTCGAACATGCCCACCAGTCCATCATAGCGTCCTCCAGCAGCCACACTGCCCACCCCCAGGGGCTCTTCCCCTGCTCGGACTGGGGTTTGTAGCAGCACCGCCTCATAGATCACCCCAGTATAGTAGTCTAGCCCTCGAGCAAGGCTCAGGTCAAAGGAGATCTGTGGAGACAAAATCACAGTCAGTACAAGATGAAGATCAAGGATCTGAAACCCCGGAGTTCAGCTAAGGTGTCCACCCCCAGCCTGACTCACCTTGTCAGCAATGCCAAACAGGGTCAGGTATTCAAACAGTAGTTTTAGGTCTCCCAGGCCCTCCAAGGCCTGTTTGTTTTGGGACAGTTCAGGATCCTGGAGCAGCTGTTCCACCAGGGATACCCCACCTGGGAAGATATCATTTGTGAGCCAGACTGACTGACTGGACTACACATGGATGCATGGGTGCGCACGTGCGCGCGTGCGCGCGCGCACACACACACACACACACACACACACACACACACACACGGAGTTTTGGCTTAAGACTTGAGGCCAGTTTGATGGCTCTTGGAGAGGCAGGATCTGTTCCTTACCATGCTGCTGGACATAGTCCCCAATGCGGTCAGCCACCTCTGGTGCAAGGCCCTTCTCTCCCACCATCTCGTTCTTTACTTCCTCCCAGGACACCTAGGCAGACAGATACCAGTAAGGGACCCCTGGGTAGTTCTCCACTGCAGAGCAAGTGTGGGCCCTCCAGAAGTTGCCTTTCACCCTATATTCTGGGGCTAATCTTCCTTTGGTGAGCACAGAGGCACGGCCCTTCAATGGGGCCCTACACCCCATTGTAGGCCAGCTTTATGGATCTTTGACCATTCTTCACAGAATCCTTTCCTCTGGGTCCCTGATCTCTCCTGATCTTGTTTTACGTCTCTCAGAGCAGCAGATGATTCTCTGACATAGCTTGGAGATAAAGGAAATGTACTGAGAAATAAAGAGTGAAGTGTTTAGGTCATTACCTTGTCCAGCTTGTCCACCGAGGAGCAGATGGTCCGGAACTTGCTATCAGGAACACCACAGATGGCAAACATCCCATCTAGGATGCGCCGATCATTCACCTGCAGGGACCCAAGGCACAGTGAGGAGAGGATCTTTTGTGTGACCATCAATAATTTTGGTCACTTGGGCTACTGGTCTCTCTGCCCAAGGATCTTCTATGAGAAGCTTGGCCCAACTTTGCCCTCCCAAACCCGTTCAGCTCTGACCTTGACCAGGAAGTCACCTATCTGAAGGGAACTCAGGATCTCACACATGATCTTCAGGCATTCTGCATCAGGGATCATGGGGTCGAATTGTCCGGCAATGTCAAAGTCCTGCAGGGAGATGGGTAGGTATGGTCCTCAGGGTTTTAACCTTCTTAAGAGCAGAGCGGGGAGGGGGAGCGGGGGAAGACACAGCCCTGGGAGCTCTGCTTTTTCCCTGTAAAGGCCTATCTGCACTCATGCACACACCACCTTCTTCATTATCTGTCCTATCACCAACCCAGAGGAAACTCCCAGCATTCTTGGGTCTCTTACCCATTCTGGTTTCCCTTCTGTCTACATTCCTTCATTATCTCACCCATCTACTTTTGCTTATTTTCTACTAGCACTGTGGGGGCAAATATATGGCCTTAGTACTGAGCCATTTTCTCTATTTATTCGGAAGCTCTGCCCCCACTCTGGATGATCTGATAATTCAAATCCAATTTCCCCATCCTTTGCTGTGATCCAATCACTGTGGTTTAATATAAAGAACAATGGACCAAAAGTTCTACTCCTCACTTTGGCTTTCTTATCCCTACGATCTCTTAATCTTGCTGAGTCTCAAATTTACTCATATGTAAAATGGGGAGAATAATCCCTATCCTCTACATGAAAATGCTAAAGAAATCTAAGGTTAGCACTATCTGGTGCATCCAGTTTGTTCAGTGCACCACGAGTACTCAGTAGATTCTACTAAGTTGAGGAAGGGCCAAGTTCCCCATCACACCCCACATACTCACACACTGATAGAATTCCCGATACCGGCCGCGGGTCATGGCTGGGTTATCTCGCCGATATACTTTGGCTATGTGG